CCCCCCCCCCCCCCCCAAAATCTTCTTTTCATATAGCTTGGCAAGATGCGTCTTACAGTACCCTGCCGAGCTGTCACCTGTTCTCACCTGCAGTGCTTTGATGCTGCTCTATACCTGCAAATGAATGAGAAGAAGCCCACCTGGATCTGTCCCGTCTGTGACAAAAAAGCCACTTATGAGAGTCTGATAATTGATGGGTGAGAATACTTTCACTATAACTGAAGTGGTGAGAAACACTAACCACATTAACCACAGTAAATTGTTTTGCATTTATTGAGAGAGTCATTTGCATTGAGTAAACTAGGCACTTTCTACTTGTCAGGCTCTTCATGGAAATACTCAATGACTGCACAGATGTTGATGAAATCAAGTTTCAAGAGGATGGGACATGGTGTCCAATGAGACCAAAGAAGGAGACGTTGAAAGTGTCATCTCCATGTTTCCCAAAAATTGATTGTAAGATTCATTTCCCTTAAAAAGTGTGTGAGCACTCTCTCTGTGTGCTAGGTTCTAACTGATTGTGTATAGGATTTGATGCAGTTTTAAAGTGATTCTTGACCTCTCAGGCGCTGTCCCAATGCGGCAAAGTGCAGTGGTGCCACCCCCAGAAACCAGCAGCACAAAAAAAGGAGACGTAATCGACCTCACACTAGAGAGCTCATCTGATGATGAAGAGGACAGCGATCCTCCTCTGAAAAAGCACTGTGTCTACATGTCAAAGGCTGAGGAGATGCACAACGCGGGGTTTGTGTTTATTAATTCTCTAGAAATCAGACCAGACATTTCTGTGTACCTCTTCTGTAAAGGAACACTCCACTATTTTTGAAAATAGGCTCATTTTCCAACGATGTAACTACAGAAGAGTCAAGTTTTAAATAGGAAAAATATAGAAACTCTTTGGTAATTTTTGAGCATTTCTAATCAGATTCAATGATCTATGCTAAGCTGCAGCTAAAAGTGCTACCGCCAGACTCGGAGATCGGCTGAACGGATTCGAAAACGGTAAAACTCAACTGTTTAACTCTAGTGGAGTTGGAAAATGAGCCTATTTTCAAAAATAGTGGAGTGTTCCTTTAAGCCTTGCCCTTTCATGACCATATTTTGAATGAACCCTAAACTGTACAATAGTCAAATTATCCATGGTGATGGGAAAACCTGAAATGTTAAGAAAGACTACAAATTTAATATCCAGACTTGAAAAAGGCATAGTCAAATTCATAAAAGCTTTTAAGAAAATGAATAAAATGCTGTTGCAAAATGTTTCATTTATTTATTTTTAAATCATCATTAGGCATGGAAATTTATAGGTGAATAGATGTTGGCACCCTGTAAGCTTTAGTATCGCTACTGTAGATACATTGGATAAAATGATCCAGAATGATTTAAAAAATCTTCAAAACGTTAACTGCAGTGGAACCTCCATTTCTCAATGTTGGTTTGTTTATTGGTTTTCATATTTTCCTTTTTCCTCTTTTAGGGTCCTGACTTATCAGCCATCAACGGTTCGGGTGCCAAATGTCCAGGCGCTAGACACCTCATACCTGACCTCCTCAATAACGGACTACTCCGTTCCATTCCACCATTCTACCTTATCTACTATTCCCACAGATATGCAAAGTATGTACTTAGCTAGTCTGCCATCCAATCAAGTATGTTTTCCTTCGTGATCAAGATTTGACACAAAAACTAATGTTTGTGTCTTTCCCAAAGGTCTTGATTTATTTTCTCTGATACAAGGGGATCCACAGGTATATGCTTTCAGAGAATTATTCTCTCAAAGAAATATTGAGATTGCATGTATCTTACATATTTTAATAGCCTGCACAGCTGTTTACCAGTAGGTTTCTTTGTTTCTTCAGCAGCATTACAGAGGCCCTATATTTTTAGACAACCTCTCCAGCAGCCTTCAGAGTGCCACCACCAGCAGCGGCCTGGTTTCCTCATCAGCTCCGTATGAGACGGCAACTCATAGCAGCAGCTCGAGTCACGAGACGGGTGTCATTACGGGAGGATCTTCAGGCCTATCAGACATTATTTCACTAGACTGAATCCTGGCACATCTTTATTGGCCAGTCACCAAAACAGCTACACTTAAGTCAAGTTGGCGAAGTGAAAAATATTTTCTACGTTTAACTATGGACTTCAAGAATCATGTTTCGACAAGGACCCAGAAGGACTACTATGAAGGTCTCTAAATGTTTTGGCTGGGTCAGCAACAGTGCTGTTTTAAAAAGCAAACTCGAATCAAGCTGTTCTCCCTTTGAACTGGGGAAACTGCCAGATACACAATGACTCCCATCCGTTAGCTATTTGAGTGGAGGAGCAGAACGAAACAAACGGCATAAATGAGTGGACTAGAAAGCTCAGACGAGTCTAATATTGTATACATTGTGTGTTTTGCATTGGCAGTTCTGCAGTTGAAACGGCAGCAGGTTTTCAGCGGCAGCTCAGTTTATGTTGTCTCTTCGATATCAGCAGTGCAATTATTTTTTGTTAGAAGACTTCAGTTGCAGCAATAAAAAACGGTATGTTTTATAATGTAAAATGTTTACTTGTCTTATATTAAGGCAGAATGCATAAGCAGATTTTTTTTGGTGGTTATTTGCTCAAGAGCCATCAGATTCCCTTTTGCTGACGTGGTAAACTTTTATTTTCAATCTGTAATTTTATATGAAATGTGTTTTGGCTCAATCTCAACACCTTAACATGTTCACCTCAAAAATTGTAATATGACCATTGTTAAAACAACGAGTAATTTGTGTAATTTCATGGTTCTTGGTCAGTTAGCAACCTGCAGGCGTAATGAATATTGAGCCATTCATTTTTTTATAATTTTTTTTTTTTTATTATGATTATGCAAGTTTTGATATAGGATGGGGATCTTTTTTCTTTTACAAATCTGCTTTTATTGCTAATGGTTATTTACTTGTGGTTTGAGTTCATCTAATTTATCTTACTGGATTATGAGCCATACAACATACTGTCATTTTGACTAAGTCTGAAGGCATGTAAGAGGCTTTCTTTTAGACGTTCCCCCTTGTTACATGTGTACTATTTTGAGTTGGATGTAAAAAAAACAAAGATGTGCTGTAAATGTTGATACAGTGCTTTTATTGTCCCTCCCAGTCAGGGTTGAGGTTTTGAATTGACATAGCTCTCCATTGATAATGGCACAGGTAATGTTGTTGAGAAACTTGAATTCTTTGCCAAAAGGAGGGCACAGTTCATGATGATACATATACATCCTAAGACATGTAAACCAATACACATTACACAGTGATTAGAGCAATATTTCATATCCATCTGGAAAAATATATTTTTAAAGTTGAATTAAGTCCAGATTGCTGTGTTGTGCTGGCTTTACTTTATGTATGGACACATCCACACAGTTTGGTTTAAAGTGCTCAGATTTTATTTGCTGCCAGATTGCGCAGCTTTGAATATTTAAATTAAGCTCTGTTGATTTTCTGTGTAAACTAATGCAATACACTTCAGAGTCATCACGTTAACATTGTAAGATTAATAGCTTCAATCACCATGTACAATCCAGAGAAATTTATAATTTGTCCAGGAAGTTGTCCAGTGCTGGGATGCCCTCCTTCAGACCTTTGCGTTTACGGGTCTCAGCCACAAGTTGGCTAGGTTTGCTGTTTACATCATATGGATCACCTGGCAAAATCTGCCAGTGGTTAAATATACACTGAGGGAAGGCCTGTCCACCAGTGTTAGACCTCAGGTCTGCTGTGAAACCTGTACAGAAACAAACGCAAGCGAATTATAGGCAGCAAGGACTTGTGTTTCTAAATGAACATCCACAATATATTAATATAGAAATGTATACCATTTGGGATCACAATTTGTTTAACTGCAATAAATGTATTTATTTTTCAATATAAAAATGATAAAAATCTGGAATATTAACTCACCAAATGATTCATTTACAGGTAGGTATGCCTTCACAACAAATATAGGTGTCCCAGCCACTTGAGACTCCTCAAACACATGGCCTCTTTTTCTGTTCAGCACACCATAGATGCCACCAACCACCTGCTCCGGGCACTGAAGGAGAGAAGGAAATATATTAACATCGTCAAGATTACACTCTCATTTTTCTGTTCCAGCAATCCACCACGTGTACCTGAATCTCGACCAGGTAAATGGGCTCCATGAGTCTTGGCTGTGCAGTGAGCACAGAAGCGTACAGAACTCTGCGGGCTGTGGGAATGATCTGACCGCCACCTCTATGAATGGCATCAGCATGAAGAGTGACATCATGAATGTCAAATCGGACTGCTCGCATATTCTCTTCACAGAGTGCACCCTGGTAAAGTAACACAAAATAGTATCTCATTGCTGTAGGAAAGACGAAGCATAAATCCTTAAAGGGGTCATATGATGCTGCTAAAAAGAACATTATTTTGTGTATTTGGTGTAATGAAATGTGTTTATGCGGTTTAAAGTAAAAAAAAACATTATTTTCCACATACTGTACATTATCGTTTCTCCTCTATGCCCCGCCTTTTTGAAATGCGTCGATTTTTACAAAGCTCATCGGTCTGAAAAGCGAGGTGTGCTGTGATTGGCCAGCTATCCAGTGCGTTGTGATTGGCCGAATACCTCAAGCGTGTGATGGAAATGTTACGCCCCTCACCATACTGTTGATGCCGTGTCCCGGTGTAGTGCCGAAATTTGCACCCTGCCAAATTATGCACCCTCTAGTATTGGTAGGTTTAGGAGTAGGTGTGGGGGAGGAGTTAGGATTAGGGGTGGGGTTGGGATTAGGCAATCAGGTAGCGACTTCAGCAAGGGGGTGCATAATCTGGCAGGGGTGCAGAATTCGGCACAACACCGGCCGGAGAGACGAGACAAAAACATTAAAACCCATTACAAACGAGGCATTTGTTGCATCCAGTGGGGACATAATTACTGATTATAATGACTTTACATACTATAAAGTCTATTATAAAGACATACTGTCTTTTTACGTGTTGCGTTGCATCGCCCCGCGTAAACATAAAACCCTGTCTGCATTTGTGATCGGAGAAATGACTCTTCCAGGATCAGGAAACAGTCCTCCATAAAATGTGCTGCACACATCTG